GCTTGTCGTCGAATGCGTTCACAACGACTGTATCTGGAGATGTCAGGCTATATTGCGCACCAAAGAGCAACACTGAAAAATAATGAAGCTTGAAGGGTGCCACACATGTACTTCCCCAATCATTTCATAGGATCACAACAAGTTGGGATCACGAATGATTTCTTAAACCATTCGTGAAATTATTGAGACTGATCCATCCACATCCATCGCAACCATCTTAGCCCACATAAAGTCCACAATGGGTTATACAATAAGCTATAGAAAGGGATAGTTGGGGAAACAACATGCCATTGAAAATATCTTCAGAAATTAGGAGAAGTCATACCATAAGTTACCTAGACAGTTGCTTACAATACAATTGTATGTTCCGGACTTCATATGAAAATTGAGTATACAACCGACATACATCGGTGACTTACTTGACGAGGGAAATGTGTTATTCAAGAGGTTGTTTTGAACCTTCAAGGCATGCATTGATGGCTTTGCCTTCTGCAAACTAATTGTTCAAGTGGATGGAACATTTTTGACTGACAAATACAAAGGGACTTTATTAGTGGCATTTGCACAAGACGGCCGCAACAACATAATTCTCATTGCTTTTACTGTGGTTGAAGGTGAAACTAGTGATGCATGGTTCTTTTTTTAAAAAAAAAATTAAGGAGTTACGTAACTTCGCAAGAGGGGTTGTGCCTCATTTTGGATCGTCACGAGGCCATAAGAAGTGCATACTTCAGAAATGGAAGTGGTTGGACAGAAAACAATTTTGTCCATGTCTATTGCATTAGATACATTGCACAAAACTTCATGCGACGATTCAAAAATATTACATTAAATTAAATTATATTAATTTAATTTGTAATCTTGTTTCTAGCATATGAGATGACTAAACCGAGATTCTTTTACTATTACAACATAGTAAAAGATAATAATCTTGAAGCTGCATAATGGTTGGACAACATCCCAAGAGAAAAATGGACACTAGCATCAGACAAAGGACGATGCTGGAGACACATAACAACAAACCTAGCAGAGTCAATCAATTCGATCTTGAAGAAACCAGAAACTTACCGATTTGCTCCATGGTCATGGCAACATACACTCGTTGCAATAAGTTCTTCATTGACAGAAGCAAGGAAGTAGATGCAATGATTAATACTGGACATATGTACTTTGAGGTTGCAACTAAAGCAATTTAAGATGCACAGTCAAAGGGGAACACTCATAGAGTCATCACCTTCGACAGAACAAACACTAGATTTTTAGTCGAAGAAACGCAACATCCGACAGAAATTCAACCCCTAGGAAGATTTACAGTATGGTTAGATGAAATGTGGTGTGATTGTTGCAAGTTTCAAAAAGTTCACATCCCATGCTCGCATGTACTTGCTTCATGCTTACACACACCACAACTTTGACATCTACATATCTTATTGTATACCTTACAACAAGTTTCTAGGGTATACGAAAGTCAATTTGGAGAACTCAAACATGAAGACTATTGGCCAACTTACACGGGCTCAACTTTGTTTCCAAATTCAGAACTAAAAAGAACTTCAAAGGGTCGATACAAGTCCAGTAAGATAAGAATAGAGATGGATATTAGAGAATAACAAAGTCGGACAAAAAATTATTCTTATTGTCATACCCCTAGTTACACAAGGAAGATATGTCCAAATATCGCTCAAGCTTCTAGTTCCCACCATTGATTTATGTTTTTGTTATTATTTTAAAAAAAATTTTAATGTCATTTTTAATTTTATGAATATTATTGCAAATTTTAAATTTTTAGTATTTGTAATTAATATTAAATATATAATTATATATATAATATATCTACATAATATTATTTAATTATATTTATTAATATTAATAACATATTTTTTAAATAAATAATTATGTATAAATTTTAATAAATATTAATATATCAAAATAAATAAATAAAATAGTTATTATTTAATACTTTATTTATTTTATAAATATATAATATTAAATAACCAAAAATATAATTTTAGAATATAATATTAATATAATTTTCAAAAAATAAATTTACATTAAATAATATAATAAGAAACATAAAAATATTATTTATTATCTTAAATATGTCAAATAAATTTTAATAAATATTTAAAATTAACATTATTAGTATTTTTATTTATTTTTAAATAATATAAAAACAAAAACATAATTCAAATAATAAAACTTATTTTATTATATATAACTAATAAAATATTTATAAATATTTATTAGAATAACATATTATAAATATTTATTTTAACAAAATAAAAATATATAAATATAATTTAAATAATAATATATATATATATATATAACTAATTCAGAATTTAGTTCCTAGAAAACTAAATTTTAGATAGCAAAAAAATGAGGTCTATTTCTGTAATAAAATTGTAATAGGGTCTATTTTAGTAATTTTACGGTAAAAAAACTTGCTCTAAGTGAGTAACACACGTCATTTTTATAGCTTATATATGTGTCATGTAAAGTATTTGTCTGTTAATTGATGCGTTGCACATTTTTTAAGGTTTTTAAACACGTGTATCAATTGTAATTTTAAGAAGAACAAAAATTTGTTGATTTCAAATTTGAAGTTTTAAAAATGCAAATATATTCCTAAAAAAATAATTTAAAATGACACATCAGACCATCACTACGTGATTGTGACTCTAAGTACAAGCTTAGACAACACATTATTGTCTCTATAATTTATTTGAGTGCAAATTTTGATAATATATCTATAGATGAAGAGAAAAAGAACTAAAAGAAAAAATATGGCCAAAATTGTAATAGAGGAAAAAATAAAACACTTCTAACATAATTTAAAACTTCTAGAATTATAACGTATCTAAAACTTTTAAATATCACAAATGTACAAACAAAATCGAAATTATTAATAAAATTTTTGACAAATTCTATCAAATACTTATTGTCAAAAAAGAAAATATAAAAAAATTAAAAAATCAAATTAACACGTGTTACTTACTTAACTTATATTACCAAAAAAACTCAAAATACCAGGAAATGACACATGTTCCTCACCTAGAATGTGATGCATTTTTTTAAAAAAATTTACATATTAATTACTATTGCTTTAGCCTATTTTACTTAACCATTAACTAAGTGTAAATGTTATTCTTAATAACTTTATTTGTAGAGATATTTAATAAGAATGAGGGTGACTTTATTTTCTATTTTAATTTTATATCTTAACTCCGTTTAAAATTGAATATTTCAATCGCGATATAATTTTACCTTTCAAATACAAAGAAGTTACATTAATATCCAAATTTGGTATCTAGAACGTTTTAAATCATTTAATCTCAATTGAACGTGTATATCATCATATATTTTTTGTAAAATCGATAAATATGTTGAAGTTTAGAAATTGACTTTATCAAATTTGAAGTCACATAAAAGACCGGGCATAACTCATCCTACCAACTTTAGTCAATCAAGGATTTGAAAAAGAACACTCGACAGCTCTTATAAGAGTAAAATGTATAACCTATTTTTAATATTCAAATCACGATGGACTTTAACCATTCATGATCCTTAATTTTTCATAGCAAAAAGTTAGTCAAGCTCGTTAGCGAGATAACACAAGATTTCATGGTATTACTATTAGCAAAGTTTTATACTTATATGCATGAAATTTTTTGTATGCATCCCTTTTTAGAATGTTGACGCAGACTTAATATAAAATTATATTTATATTTCATCGCAATATTATTTAATTAGTTTGACATATTATTTTATCGATCAAAATTATCAACATTGTCTGTGCGTTTACAACATATCAAAATTAAACTTATATGTATATATATAATTTTTCAATTAATTATCAATAAAAAATAATATTTACATATAACTATACTGTATTTTTTTAATGTTTATTAGTTTATTTGATTGCTTACAGAATAAAGTTTATTAAATAACATTTGAAAATAGAATTGAAATTATTGAACAATGCAAGTTTGCAATTTTTCATAGATGATCTATCAATTAGAATAGTACTTTTTCTTTATAGCCTGTGAACTGAATCATCCATGCTTTGCTTTTTCTGGTTTGGCGGTTAGTGCTAGACGATAGACCTACATCCTATGCACACACACACGTCTCTGTCTCTCGGCCATCGCGCGTAGGAATAGTACAAACTGATGCATGCCAAAGGATAAACTGATATATCAAAATGATTTTTCTTAAATCATGTGATGTAACATAAATTCATGTATAAATACAATTTTGTGTATAAAATCGTTTGTATTGTTTTTTTTAAATCTAATTAATTTCATATACTTTGATTTTTTTAGATAAAATTTGATTATGGGGGTAATATGTGTCGTGAAACTATACATAGCTTGCGATTTCTCACAATAATACTAGATAATGTGGGCATATAATGCAATTTTTTATTACAAGGATGATTGCCTTGATTGAGTCAATTGTCTTGAATCCCATCCAGAAAAATAAATATGTAAATTAAAAATTTAATAGCATCATATAATTTGTTTCCGAGGGAGAATATGATTAGTGAAATGACATAAGATATAACCGAAGACATGCTGGTAAAAAAGCAACTTATTTAATATAATAAATAATATTACGATGTCTCAATACCTTTTGAGTTACATATGACGTGTTAATATACTTACATGTCATTTAGTTAAATAAACTCATATAACTAATAAGTTGTCAAATATATTAATAAATTAAATAAAATGACTAACTAGCGTATATATATTAATTTTAAAAAAGAAAATCGTTTATAAGAAGCAAATAAGGTAAGTACCAATCACTACAAGAAACCTCCTTTTATTAAGAAGCAACCAGAAACAATGAAGTCAGTCTCCAAGCTTTGAATATTGGTTGGTCTATCATATGATATTTTTAAATGTTGAAAGGATCCGTGACCGATCAAAGTTTACAGATTCCATTTGCACACTCAAACATGTGATAAAAAGAATATTGAATAAAGTAAGAAACAATAATGTTTTCAATTTCATCCAAAAATCAGGAGGCATTAAACTATTGTTGTCACATTATTTTATTTATAGGACAAGCTTGCTTTGTTGTTTTTGGGTAACTTTGAAGTAAAAATGAAAATAAATAATAATAAAAATAAAGTAGCTTAATTTCTCTTGCCTTCTCCACCACCATCTTCCACGTAAGTCTTTTTCTTTCTATCAGCCCCTACCAGCACACAAATGAGGAGAAAACACGTGGCATAAATCCCGTGGATCTTCCAATTCGTTTTAGGGGGCTGCTGAAGCACCACTCTGTGAAATACCGTCACGTAGTAATGGAGCCCGACAGCAAGGCCCACGAAGACCTGAGCGAGGCCCAAAAACTTGGAGCCCAGCCCACATTCCGTTGAGAACACAAGAATAAGGTACATCAACAGAAGCAGCAGGTAGAACACGTAAGCAAGAGTTTGAAGCACCTGTAGACAAAGATAGGTGGACCGCGAAGTAGAGTACAGAAACTTCAATGGTTCAATACCAGTGACCAATGATGAGACACAGAGAATAGTGAAGTAGATGGAGAGGTAGATTTGGACGAAGATCAAGATCTTTTGGAGGGAGAAATAGGCTTTGATTTTGGTGCAAAGGAGTGAGACTAAGAGCAAAGGGATCAATATGAAAGCACAAGAAATAATGGTGGCAATGGTTGGTGCGTATTTTTTGCCAACGTAGGGTTTGAACCCTTTTGTCATTTCGTTATTGGCTTTGGTGATGTAGGCTTTGGAAGTGGTTGAGATTCGCTCGAGATCAGGGATTAAAGTTCGGTGGAACTTGTTGGGTAGATCTGTGAAGCCTGAAACAAAATCATCTTCATCATCCTCGTCCATTATCCAACTCGGTGGTGTTTGTTTTGTAGGTTTCTTGCTATGTTGTTGGGTCGGGGTGGTTTTCTCTACCTTGGATGTTTTGGTTTGTTTGTTGTTGTCTTTGGCGGGGGGGTTTGTTGTTTTGTCAGTTGCTTTCGCGAGATCAGAGGATTTTTTGGTTGAAGTGGGAATGGGGTTTGGTTTTGAGGTGTGGGGTTTGGATGGGGTGTTTAGTTTCTTGAGCTTTGGGGCGGAGGCGGTGGAATTGAGCTTTTTGAGTGTGGTTTTGGGAGGTGAGTTATTGGAGCTAAGCTTGAGTTGCTTGGTTTGGTTTTTGGAGGAGAGGTTATTAGATTTGGTGGTAATGTTGTCGGGTTTTGTGGTTTTGGTTTGGTTTTTGGAGGAAAAATTGTCGGATTTGGTGGTTTTGGTTTGGTTCTTTGAAAAAAGTGTACTATTATTACTATTGGGCTTGATTGGTTTGGTGTGGTTTTTGGAGGATTGGACAGGGATTTTCTTCTTCGAAGGCATCTCTTGCTCTTCCTTTCGGGAATCTAAGATTCTCCTTCTGCTGCTACTACTACTACCCAAGTGTGTGGTTTGAAGTTGAGGGTCGGAGCGGGCACCGAAGCAAACAGAAACATAAAGGAACAAAAGAACAGAGAGGAGGAGTACCTCTGTGTAACAGAATTTGATAATGAGTTGAGACATTGCTGAAGGCTTTTCCTCGTAGATCTAGAGGCTGAGGCTGAGGCAGAGGATCCCTAAGATCTAGGGGTATGAAAATGAATAAATGGAACACAAAACTCACATGGGAAATTATGATTTGACTTGAGAAGAGAAAGAAAAAGATGGGAGAGGAGGGTAGAAGAGTAGGAAATATAGTTTGTAGAATGGTGATGGGGTAGAAGAGAAGTGAAGAGGGGAAGTGTGTGCCGCCACATAATCACATGGCGCGCATGGACACTGTAGATTTCACTACCTACGCGCTATTACCGGACACGCAAGGCATTAGCTCTATTTTTCGATGCTCTCGAATTTTATACTCTCAAGTAATTTAAAAACAAAGGATCCACTCCTTGCAATTGACAAATCCACAGGTCAATAGTAAGGCTCATCAATTTCACCGAGTCTGTCAACCACGAGACTATGATACTCTCTCCCTCATTATCTTAATATAAACGATTCATTTATAAGTACAAACATATTTTATTTTCCCTCTTTAGACAAATTAAACCAAATGAAGGGAGTATAAGTTTTGACAAATAAAATAAAATAAAATAACTCTTGTAACTGGTTTAATTTTAAAATGGATGGCATATTAAGTTTAGAAAATATCAAAAGAATTATTACTAATTGATTAAAAAATATATTGATAAAATATGTTAAAATACATGAAAATTTATTATATTGATAATTTTTGTTTCCGATTAAACTTTAACCTTTCCGTTTAAAAAATTACATTAAAATAATATATAACTGAAAAGACATTTATTAATAATGTTTAAAATTTTTAACTAGACAACAAAGAGAAACCGTCTTTTCTTGTAAACAGATAAAAAATAACGAGGGAATAATTTGAAAGGCTTAGACATCAGAAATTTGATTATTTTAAAGTTTATTAAAATAAGAGGACTATAATATTAGAAAAGGGGAAATTTGGGATATATACATTTTTATATAAAAAAAATATTTTGGTTAGTGATTTTTGATTGAAACATGGTTTAAAATATTTTAGCCAAATTATTTTGCTTTAATTTTAAATAAAATTTAAGATGATTTCTCATTTTAAGTGGTACAAAATTGATACAAGCATTTAATTGAATTTAAAATGTTAAGAAAACGTTTTGAACAATGTTTTTAATCAAAAGTATAAATTAACCATGACATAATGATAAATATGCAATTAATCAACTTTCTGTAAAACCAACTGCGGAATTCGCTTGGAGGAAGTTTCAGGTGTAGTTGTCTCTTGAACGCATGATACACTACCTTTTTTCATTTAATAATTAAAAATATTGATTATGAAAAACATAATCGTTCAAATATTAGCAACACGTTAAGGGAATGCATTTGAAAGTTATTATTATTTTTTTTGTGCACCTTATTTAAATCGATCTTGACATATAATAACACACAAATATTTCATTAAATTTATGATTTTTTTATAATATTCTTACCGAACCGGATTTAATTTGAACTGCCCAAACGGTTTTAAATAATGAGGTGAATAACATTAATTAATTAATGTTGGGATTGATGTCAGTGGAATACGATGCTATCTAATAGTAATAGATGCTTCATAGAGGTTGAACAAGAGAAGGAACACATGTATACTCTAGTACCTGGTACTTTGAAAAGATTATAAATGGTAACTGCATTTGGAAAATGTTATTTTCATCACATTTTAGTAATAGAACAGCAACAACAACAAAAATCTACACTCTATTTTAGTGTATAAATAACAATAACTTACCTTGCCGACATGGAACGAAATACTCTCTGGGTCTCATCTAGCGTGTTTACATTACCATCGTTGACAAAATGAGAAAGTGTTTCGATAAAATATATGGTATGCAAGAAATCAAGAATCTAGCTTCTCATGCTTTCTTATCACTAGCACAGAAAAAGGTTTTAAAGCACATATATTAGCAGTTTACGTCCCAATTTGTTAAAATATTCAATATGGAAACATTTAGTTACGAGATTGTCATCTTTTATTAGTTTAAGCAAGTTATTATCACTTAACCTCACATTGATTCACTCTGGATGATAAAACACAAAATTAAAAAGGGTATTGCGTAGGTCCATAACCATTATAAGTGTGTTTAGCAAGCCCCGTTGCGGAGAAAGATGCGGGACCTCAACGAGCATCCAAGGCAATAATATAGATAAGATGTTTAAAGTGCTGTGTCCACTGAGTTGATAAATGGTCTAGGTCGTGTATTTGTATCGTAACAACTCATACAAATTAAAGAAAACTTTAGAATTTACACTTTGTTTATTATATTTAACAGTTAATATATACACACTTTTCCTTAAATAAGATTGACAAATGCTAACTAATGTTTGATTTTTCTACGAATATATAATGAATACATTTTTTTAATTTATTTATAAATTTTACTAAAAACTTTTTACTTTTAAATTTTTAACCAATGTCGTAAATGGCATGATTAATAAGACCTAATAAGATTTAAATGTAGTATTTAGACAAAAGTGACATGTGAAGCTATTCCTCTCTTTCATACGCAATACTCTGCAAAATGTAAAGTGACCCCATAAAAGGAAATTAAAAAGGTATTGGGACCCATGAGCGTAACCGTTGTCAACATATGATTAACTAGAAGGATGCCAGACATGTTCATGTTTTGATCACATATATGCCAAGTTTTCAACATGACTAGTGTAGGTCACGGGTCAAAGAAATAATTTTGTTTCTCAAACAAGATATTAATAATTAGCTGATCATAAAATATTGATTATCGAAAAATTCGTTACTATCTAAGGGGGAGTGATACTACTTTTGTATTTAGTTGTCAATGGTTTAAATAGTTAAAAAATTATAGCAAATTTATGAATTTTTAAATACAAATGTCTTTGAAAATAAAAAGTACTAAGTTCAACTTTTATAGGTAAATTTAAACCATTAATAATAAAAATTCATTTTATTTTATATTTTTAATATAATAAATATTTTTTAATAAAAACTTACTTCCAAATACTTAAAATCTATCTTAAAGATTAAAATTAATAAAATTATATATTAAAAAACTATAGGTTCATGGCCCCTCTCGATACTGTCTTTCAATTGCATAGTTGATTTTGATTATAACACCATGTTGACTTAAGTATTAAGAAATCTATGTTACTTTTGGTAAAAGACTGTAAATTTGGATGATTATATAGCGTGCTAAACAATTCAAGAAAAAAACACTTACAGGGTTTAACAACCCTGATCATGATTTCTCATTTATTTGTTTAAAAAATTGATATTAATTGAACCATAAATTAAATTTATAATATAAAATAACATTGTGCCTACTTCAATAAATACATGGCACATTCAATATCTAAACTATAATTTTTTATTTATTTAAAATATCATATAATTTTGGCCCCTTCAATAATCAATTTCTGGATCTGACCTTGCTTGGATCTACGTTCTTAATTCTATTTAGCATTTATAATTTTGTTTACAATTTAAGTAATACGGTCAGTGTTGAGTATAAAATGATTTTATGTTTACATTAATTTATATTTAACACATCATGATTTAAAAAAAATAAAGAAGAAAAATAATAAGATTAATAATATGATAAAAAAATTATAATCTTATAAAAAAAAAATTCCCAGAAATTTACAGGAGCAGCTAATAATGAAGCACTGAAAGCGACAAAGCTAATCATTTTGAAATAACGTCTTTTTTATGGGTCCAGATTATGAGATCGCATTAAAATTTCTTTTCTGCAAACTGCGAAGTCACAGAAAGCTAATAAGCGAGTGGTGGCCCAACCCCTTTCACAGGCTATTTATCCGACCCAACGGATTTATAATGTGTAGAAATTAAATTTAATTATTTTCAATTGAAAAAATAAAGTCTATTTTCTGTTAATTTAAAATTAATTATATTTATAAATACTTACATTTAAATCAAAAGTAAATAAACATTATCTTTTTCACTTTACACATTTAAAATTCTGTTTAAAGGAGGTAAATTGTGAGACATCAAGAATTAAGGAATGAACATGATATGAAAGGGTTATTCAGAGTCGTGTAAATGACAAACTCTACTCATGTTCGGGCAATTGGGTCAGAACCAAAAAAAGATATAACAGCACTTGATCAAATGAGCACGTTTCTCATTGCAAAAATGAACTACCGAGACAACAAAACCTTCCCATCGTTATCGTCGAAGTCTAGGCTCTCTGCCCTTGTATAATCAATGCTACTTTCTTTACCATCTGAGTGTAAAACATGAATTTCGCAAGATTTTTCTGTTGTGTTGTCTTCAACTTCTAGCTGCTCCATTTCTGATTCCGCTAATGAAACCATTCTTGCTCGCTCCCTATCTCTCGGGTATGTGCAATAAAGGAATGAGTAAACTGCGACACAGATTGACATTGGAATTAAAATTGCGATATAAAGTGCCTTGGCGAGTGATGCAGCATTTTCCCTGTCTGTTTCAATCTCCACAGAATCAGAGGACCCACTTGGGATTGGTCTATATCCATAAACTCGCTGAGCCAAAACTCCAACAATAGGAGGAGCAAAGGACGCCAATATAGACTCAAATGAACAATCCAAAGCATATATAGCTGTCCGAGATTTCTCAGGAACTATTTCTGCAAATATTGGGCTGTCCCACACAACATTAAATTTAGACAAACCTAAACGAAATGCATAAGATCAATATTTGATTGTATGTGTCAGGAAACATATACGTATCTTCATGTTAAATACACGCAAATATACTTTAATTATTGTGTAAACATGTTTAATTGCTCTAGATCAAAAATAATCTTATCTTTAAAATCATGTTTTAATAAACATGATAAATTAGGACTTTTACTTAAAAAATTTATACTAAATTTTCTATAAATTTACTAATAAGTGTTGAACACAACCATGGTAATCAAAATCTCATACCGAATCATAGAATCGTAGGATTCTATGATTTCTGGCCACGCTCCTGTGTTGACTCACATATGAAAACACAAAATAATAGAATTGATGGGATCGCATGAGTTGGATTGTAAAAAGACAAACGATCCCAACATGCATAGATGTTGTTTTGGACCAATGACCCACGACTTAGTGGGACTGTTCTTTATTCTGTTTGTTGTGGGTGGATTTATTCACTACTGTTATACAAAATGACTTCAACTAGTAGTGAGACTTCTCCTTTCAAGTCATTACCAAAGAATGCATCGGGAAACAAAAGTGATATAGCATGACAACATAGGATCACAATTTAAGGTACAAGAATAATTCAATGCAAATATTGTCAAATAAAAAATAGTAAGTAGAAGTGTTTATCGATTAAAGCATCACTTGGCTCAAATAGCTAAAGATGTTGGAGCATGTAAATTTCTTCTGAATGAGGTGAGAAAGAAAATGTGGAACTTGTAACATGCAAGAAAAGTTGAATAAAAAATAAAATTCCTTTGCTAGTTGTTCTGCTAACCAGAAGATTGAGAGGGAGACTTTAGATACAAGTAGTAGAAGAGAAAATCAAGTGAGAGTGAGTTAACTAAAGGAGGAAATATTTTTCGGAAAAGGAGTGTAGCCACCCAAGCAACAATCAACAACATATTCATCAAACTAGAAGAGAGGAGGCTTGTCAAGCTATTCGAAGGTTTTTTTTTTTTTTAATAATAATGCCATATCATTCAATGTGGCAAGAAGTGATGAATTTTCTGTTATGTGTGATTTAATTGCTAGTCATGGTCCAGGATTTAAACCATCAATCTATCATGAAATTAGAGTAAAGTATTTGAAGAAGGAAATAAAGTTGACAAAGGAGATATTAGAAGAACACAAAGCTAAATAGAACACTGTTAGATACACATTAATGACTAATGGGTGTACTAATAAGAGGAGGGGAATAATATTGAACTTCTTGGTAAATAGTCTTAAAAGAACAATATTTTTGAAGTCTATTGATGTATTTCATATAGAAAGAATAACTGATAAAATATTTAAAATGCTTGATGTTGTTGTTGAAGAGATTAGTGATAAAAATGTAGTTCAAGTTGCGACTAATAATGCATCAAATTACAAAGTTGCAGGGGAGATGTTGATGCAAAAAAGAAAATATTTGTATTGGCCTCCTGTGCAGCACATTGCATTAATTTAATGTTAGAGGACTTTGAGAAGAAAATACTAATTCATGAAGAGACAATTTTGAAAAGTAAAAAAATTACAATCTACATCTATTCAAGGAAAGGTTTTATTTCTGTATTGCAACATTTTACCAAAGGTAAAGATTTGGTAAGGCCAGGAATTACTTGTTTTGTTACATCTTATTTGACTCTAAGGTGGAAGACTTATAGAAGAATTGATTTTAGATAAAGAGTTTTGGAAAGATATAATCACTTGCTTGAAAGCTACATTTCCTCTTATCAAAGTTCATCAAATGGTTGATTTAGATGAAGAAACTATGAGCTTTATTTATAAGGCAATGAATCAAGCTAAAGAGAATATTCAAACCGCTTTCAATGGTGTTAAGAAAAAGTAAATAAAAATACTATCAAATTAAATTAGTGGATATTTTGTGATCTATGTTGTATTGTATATTGAATTTTTATTTTTTACTCTTTATCAATTATGTACTTATATGGAATATCATAGATGAAAGATAGGATAACTAGCTCTATAGGTCTTTGCATGCATCAAACTATTTTCTTAACCCTAAGATGCACTATAGTCCTAAATTTAAGGCTAATCTTGAAGTTAAATATGGATTATATGATTGCTTGATAAGGATGGTGCTTGATCAAGATGAACAATGTAAAATTGATTATCAACTTAATTCATTTAAAAAACGAGTTAGAAAAAACTATTGATATGCGTCTGCCAACTGATTGTGAGTGTCTCATGGATATAAGCATCTTGAGCTTCAAAATTTAAAAAGTTGTTATTCAAATACTAAGTTTTTCTAAGTGTGAACGTAAGTTGAGTGCCTTTGAGATGATAAGTAGAGAATCTTTTTCTAAAATTATTCATTAGGGTAGTCAACTAGTTTTTTTTAATCTTAAATTATAATTTAATATGTTATTATTTGTTTAGATGCATACAAAAAGAAAAAGTCGTTTGAAGCAAAATATAACGAATAATGTAGTATTTGTTAAACAAATTCAAAATCGGCTAAGAAGAAGACAGGTAAGAGAGTGAAGGATCTTCACATAAATGTAGATGATATTCCATCTGACAATAAGTGGATAGTGAAAAATAATGATAGAAGAAATCATGAAAATTTGAACTTAGAAGACAATTTGGAGGATGAAAACATTCACGAGCATGTTGATGTTGGTGTTGGTGATGTTCCTAATATAGACAATTTAGATGGTGAAAGAGATGACAAACCAAATGAAGATGATATTGATTCTAACTTTTTTCATTATCAAAATATTTTAGATATGATAAAATAGATATCTAAAGTTTGGATATTGATTTTGTATTTGGTTTGTATTATGTTTATGTTAGACATGTTCTTAATATTCATCCTTTAAATTATTTTGTATTTGGTTTGGATTAGTGTCTTTGTTTTCTTTCTATTTATACTATTTTATATGTATATATACAATTTTGTAGGATTTATGTTCCATGTTACGATCCTACGAGTTATGATCTTTGACTCCATCCATAATTTTACGTAAAATCTCAATTTTGACTACCACACTACCTTAATAAGGACTCTCAAAGAAATTATATATCTATTCTCACTTTCTTTTACATCTATTTTATCATTTTTTTTTCATTTTTTATCTTTCTCTTTCTTTTTCATCACATTTTTTACTTTTTTTTTATCTCTTTTTTTCATCTGTTCTCTCTCTTCCTCCACCCAAATCACACTCACTTTAAGATTGTGAACAAAATATTTTCTTTCTAAATATAAAGAACATTTTAATATGAACTATTGCACCTAAAGGAGTTCTAGTAATACTTTCTTTTTTATAATAGAATTTTAAGTATAAGTTGAAATTATAAATTTATTATAATTATATTATTTTAATCTTAAAATTTTAAATAGACCATAGACTGATTATATATTTACACTTAACTTTTTTTTTTTATATCTATTATTTCTTTTTCTGTTCTTTTTTCTCTCTCTTTTCCATCTCATTTTTATTTTTTCTCTCCCTCCTCCCAAATCTCATGAAATATTGTACCTCGAGGAGTTCCAACAATACTTCTTCTAACACATTTTTAAGTATAATTTGAAATTATAAATTTATTATTGGGATTAAATTAAGAAGCCGTATAATTTTGGTGACTCTTAAGAAATTTAGCCAATAATAAAAAGGAATATTTGAAATAATGTGTTGCTAACATTTTTTTTTTATTGCGGTTATGGATACGTACTTGTTAGTTGCTGGAGCATTCCAAGCTGAGGTGAATCCCATGATGACTAAAACCAGACCATGCATGAAGGCTGTTGAAGGATCATCAGGCAATCCCAACAGCAAAATTGCTGCTAAAGGAATGACTGAACCAGCGCTTATTTGTGACAAAATTATTCTCCCAGAGTTGGGAAACCTTAGGGATAAAAAATCTCCCATCCATCCTCCAAACAGAGAACCAAATGAAGCAGCAACTATAAATAGTGTCCAAAGGATTGCTGTTGTGACATGGGAAAATCCTATTAGTTCTAACCAAAGAGTGGCAAATGACAAGCCTGACCAAGGGAACGATCCAAACACTCCCTGAGCCACAATTATCTGAAACGTTGGAATTCCAATAACTGACTTTGCTTCTCTCATTAGACCTTTCATTTCAGAATAAAAGGACTTGCTTGGAGCTTCATATGTTGCTTTGCCATTGTTCTTTGAATAGTGTGGATCATTAGCAAAGAGGCGTACCAATATACCAACTATAACACTGATTAAAGCAACCAAATGAAAAGCTAATCTCCAACCAGGTACACCCAAAAATGAGGTTGATGCTATAAGTACCGAGAAGAGCCCACCAATGATGCTTCCAAAGTTTCCTGTTAGTTGCAGCCACCCAAAAGCCATACCACGGTTGCTATCAACTGTTGAGTCAGCAACCAGTGATTGAATCGCCGGAATAACAATAGCAAGTCCTATCCCATTTAAACCTCTTGAAATTGCCACCTGATCATCCATACAAATTTATCATTTTTTAAGCAAATGAGAGATAAAATTTTCAAATAACATTTTTTTGATAAATAGATGTCAGAATTGCGTGGTAAAAAAAAAAACCAATTTTCTTCGCAAGTCAAATTTCCCTATTTCACTCGGTCAAACGCCTATTGATTTGTTCGATCAAAAACCCAGAGGAACAATCTAAAACAAAAAAAATCATAAAATTGAAAGAGGTGTAAAACTTTACCTGTAAGAAGGTGGAGGATATGGCAACGAGAAATGTAGCAGCAGCCCAAAGAAAAGCACCGAGAGCTATGACATGTGCACGATTGTGACGCATAGCAAGGTAAGCTGCAAGAGGGTAACACAGAGATTGCACCAGTGATCGGAACAGAGTGAGTGAACCCAACGCAGTGGGGTCAGCATTCAGAGCTGCACCAACCTCTTTGTACACTCCTGGCAGCAATGATTCATCTGCTCTCTGCATAATGCTTGCCAGATTCACGAGCACAAGTGTTACTGTCTCCGATTTCGTCTTCATCTTCAATCAATCACTGTTCTGACGCTATGTCTTCAGTTTCGATTTGGAGGGACACATGTAAATCGATACAGTGGGGGGCAGCGGAGACCAACTGCTGCATACTTGAAACTCAGATGAGTTTTTCTTGCACATAATTCAATTTTTTATATATAAAATATGATTTAATCGAAGTTTAAGGAAACGTCACTGTTCTATTGTTTTATGAGGTTGGTTCCGTTATACTCAAGTTTGGTTAGTTTATTTGTTGTTTTCCTTACAATATATCGTTGACCTTAAATTTGTATCATGGTTAACTCTTCGGATTTAAGTAAAAGTACATAAACTTTTCTAAATTCACAAAATATGTTAGTACTTACTGTTCAATTTATAATAAATAATTATCAATATATTTTTTTTGTCTTAAGTATAAAACATAAACACTATATTAGATATATAGATTTTTTTTATATTCTTATTTATTGTAAAATTTTTGTTAATTAAGCATTTACTTTTTATTTTATGAAACACATACATTTATTCATTTAATATATAACACTAATTTCATCATTTAATACTATAAATATTTTTAAAATGATATAATTATTTAATGCTATAAAATTCGTGGTAGCCCATGTGCATGTATTCAAATTATATAGTAAAAAAAAGAGAAGGAGTTGGAGGATTGAAAATAAAATTAACAAGTTGATGGTCTTTTTATTTTATTCAATAATAAAATAAGAACAAGTTGGAGGGTATACTGTGGCACTATTCAATCGGTATTCGTGTTTAAAAACATAAATATGCAATTTGCATTATTTAATCAAATGACCAGTGGTAAATAATAAAATAACGTAATTGCTTGAATTTAATATGTCTGTTTAAGATTAAATGAAATCAAGAATAAACTTACGAGTTTAATTTAAGAAGGTTTTCGATTTCAAAAACTTAAACAAACTTTTCTTCAATGTCGTATTACAGTTATAGATTTAACTACAGTTAATATTCGTAATTAAGATATGAAATAATCTTTTTATTTGAATAAAAGTATAAGTAATGAATTTACAAGGATGAATATTAGGTACCCTCAACCAAAATAGTGCATGAATATGAAAATGGACGTTTTTGGGTTAGCTCCACAGTGCGCACTTACGGCCCCTCTGTTTCACGTGCTACACTTAAATCGTTAAAAAAAGAATCTTTCTGTGGTTTTAAGATTTTTATACGCAATAATAATGATTTAATTGATGCTATATATTTTAACTAAAATACCACAATTTATATTTCCAATCATTTCATTTGTTATTTTCTAACTTTCGGTAAACTAATGAGGTACATGTGGGAAAAAAAATCCTGAAAATCTAAAACTACAAAATGTTTGAAACAAAAATAAAATATTAAAACAACGAAAGTTAAGAAATGGAAGGAATAACTTGAAATGTGATATGAACTAGTTGATAAAGTAACAATTTTTCTGTGGAAAGTGAACTACCGGGACAACAAAACTGTCTCATCATTATCATCCAAGTCTATGCTCCCGCGCCTTGGATAATCGATGTTAATCTTGTTACTTTTTTGACAATTGAGGCCATTTGATTCTAAAACTTGAATTTCACTATATTCTTCATTTGGGTCGTCTTCCACCTCTAGTTGCTGCATTTCTGATTCTATTAATGCAATCATTCTCGCTCGTTCCCTGTCCCTTGGGTAAGTGCAGTAAAGGAATGAGTAGATGGAAACACACATTAATATAGGAAAACCAATGGCAGTATAAAGTGCCTTGGCGAGTGATGCAGCATTTTCTCTATCTGTTCCAATCTCATCAGAACCTGAGGACCCTTTTGGGATTGGTTTATATCCATAAAAATGCTGAGCCAAAAATCCAACTAGAGGAGGAGCAAATGATGCCAATATAGTCTCAAAAAATTTATCCAAAGCATATATAGCCGTCCGGGACTTCTCAGGGACTATTTCTGCAAATATTGGACTGTCCACGCTAATAAATTTCAAAGGAAACTAAAAGAAGTGCATATGACCAATAGTTGTTAGCTAGAATGACTTTATTCAATCCTAGAAGTAGAAGCTATGTGCATATGGACTAGCACCAGGCTTATAATGCGTGCATTCTGTTCATATTTGATGTAGTTGGACTCTTGCTGTAAGTTATAGCTTAATTCAACATAACTTGTTTAGCTAGAGATTCTTCCTAACACCTTCATTTTAATGGAGATTATTTATTCTATAAAAAAAGGGGGAATATTTAAAGCGAATGTAGAGTGTTTTATGTTGTTTGTTTGTTAAAGCCAACTAATATTGTGAAATCTTAAACAAAGGAAAATAAAGGATGACAATCATTGATACGTACTTGTTAGTCGCTGTACCATTCCAAGATATGAAGAACCCCATTATGAATAAAAGAAGACCATGCATGAAGGCTGTGGATGGATCATCAGGTAATCCCAACAGCAAAATTGCTGCTAAAGGAATGGCTGAACCAGCGCTTATTTGTGACAGCATTATTCTGCCTGAATTGGGTAACCTTTGGGATAAAACATCCCCCATCTTTCCTCCAAATAGACCTCCAATTGATGTAGCAACCACAAATAGGGTCCAAAGCAATGCAGTTGTCATGTGAGAGAAGCCTATTAGTTCCAACCAAAGAGTGGCAAATGACAAGCTTGACCATGGAAATGCTCCAAACACTCCCTGAGCCACAAATACCTGAAATGTTGGAATTCCAATAATTTCTTTTGCTTCTTTGATTTGATCTTTCATTTCAGAAAAAAAGGACTTGTCTGGATCTTGACGTGGAGCTCTGCCATTGCTCTTTGAAAAGTGTGGATCATCAGCATAAAGGCGTACCAATATACCAACTATTACACTAACCAATGCATTCACATGAAAAGCTAATCTCCAACCAGGTATACCAGCAAATGAGGTTGGAGCAATAAGTACTGGAAAGAAACCACCAATGATTCTTCCGAAGTTCCCTGTTAGTTGCAGCTTCCCAAAAGCCATACCTCGGTTGCTATCATCTGTGAAGTCAGCAATCAGGGACTTAATTGCTGGAATAACAATAGCAAGTCCAACCCCACTTAAACCTCTCCAAATTGCCACCTAATAATCCATGTTATGCAACAAGCAAAAGTTAGGATATGGAATCACATTCATACCAAATTATATAACCATTTGTTATATAAATAATCTTGGCGGGGTTTTGTTGTAAAAGTTACTATTTAAAAGTCAATCTATGATGGACTCATAAAGGGTATTTACAATGTTCGCTAATCAACCTATAAGTTTTAATCCATTTTGCCAAAATTGCGTTCTAAGTTTTCTTTACAAATTGTAAAACTCTAGCAATTTTCAATAATAAAAAAAAGGTTAACAGCTTATTGCATGATTCGACTTAATCACGTAATTTTATATATGCTAAGCTGTTTATTTTGTACCGCATTAGAAATAATCGGTTAATTCAGATTCAGAACTATCACAAAATACCTAAAAAATAAATAAATAAATAAACTTTGAATTGACTTGGATATAAAATTGGATGATGCCAACGCAAATTGGCACCATGTCTATAAGCAAAAAGATGATAAGCAATACAAGTGAAAAGCTATTGAGAGAAAGAGAACCTGTGTTAAAGTGGAGGAGATGGCAACAAGAAATGTAGCAGCAGCCCAAAGAAAAGCACCGAGAGCTATGACATGAGCACGATTGTGGCGCGTGGCGAGGTAACCAGCGAGAGGGTAACATGAAGATTGAATAAATGATCGGAAAAGAGTGAGAGAACCCAACGCAGTGGGATCAGCGTTGAGTTCATCACCCACTTCTTTGTACACTGCTGGCAGTAACGTGGCATCTGCATTCTCCATAATATTTGCCAGATTCACCAGCAATAATGTCACCCTCTCTGACCTCATTATCATCTTCTGCTTCTTCTTCTTCTATCATCCAAAATGACCCACTCGCTGGGTCTTTGGAAGAAGGCATTGTAGCAGGGATTTAGGAACTACGAGGTACGTTGACTTCGATGCCACACAGTCTCACGCACAGATAGACCCTGCATATTACCACAATAACCCCACTTTTTAGTTTTTAATAAAATGTACTGCTGAGTACTAACCTTATTTTATGTCATCAAATAACATCTTTCTGTGTCCCACAAGCTTGCAAAGGTTAAAACTTGTTTATTATTAACTAATTTTGATCGATTAATTATCCATGTTGTTTGAAAATACCTGTTTATACTTCTCTTTCATTTATTTTTTTCTCCCTCTCTCTTAAAATATCTCTCTGCCTATATAAGAAAATAATACCTATCTTTTTATGTTTGGTTTGAATTTATCTTTTTGGGTCTTGAGTTGATTCACACTGTTTATACCCCTATGATGAAAATATCTGATAAACTATGAATTAGTACTATAAGCCTCAGCGGGGATGGCACGTGACATCCACCTGTCATGGGGGGGGGGGGGGTTGATGGGCCGTGGACATTTCCACTTTCGATTTTTTGAAATAATGGGCCAGTGGGCCACTCAAAGACATGAGCATCTGTATACATAAAATTGTCGTATCGTATAATCTCTGTTGACCAAAAACAAAAATATCGTACAATCTCTTTGACCTAGAAAAATATCGTATAATCTCCCTCTCTTCATAGCTTAACAGGGACATGAAATATAAAGAATAAACTTCAAATTTTGTCACATACAAAAATCACATTTTTATCCCCATTTTCCTTTTTGAGAAAAAAAAATCATAATTATTCCGACAAAAACATAAAATAATAATAATAATAATGTCAGATAAAAAATTGAATAATAATAGGGACTACGTTTCGTTGGCAATTGACGAGAAAAGGGAAAAGAAGGATAAAGTTTGGTAAATAGCGATAATTTGCTTGATTATGAATTTATTATGATGATGCGGATTTGGACGTGAAAATTACATTTTTCTAACAAAAACAGCTAAAGCTTCTAGAGCGACTCTTTAATAATAATAACCCATGCTTTTAGAGTTGGCAACTAATCAGAGAGGAAACACAATCAATTGAATAGTCTTGTTTTGATGTATGCATGACTAAGAAATGACGTCAGCGACTTAGCCAACTTCATGTAACCCTGTTTAAATTTAAAATATTATTTTTCATACAATTGCCTTTATCACTGAATTAAATTTATTTTTCATCATAAAATACAATCATAGATTTAATTGATTACTATTAAACTTGGAACTACTTCAACTGGATGAGTCAACAATACGTATACATAACATAAGACAGGATCCACGATATTAACTGTCACTACTGTTAAGATTATATTTTTAATAATTTTTACACAATTTAAATACTTGTAAATATGTAATCCAATAATATATTTATATGCATTTTGAATAATATATTATGTGTCAAAATAAAAAAATAGGATGATAAAGTATTGATTAATTTTTGTATTATGTAAAATTTTATAAATTTATTTTATCTTGTGAGAAATTTAAATTAATAGTTTGATTGATAAAATTTATTTGTAATAAAAAGTATTAAGTATATTATTTTATTATACTTCATAATTAATATTATTAAGAAAATAAGTAAAAGATATAATAGGTCTCGAACCATTAATACATTTATTCATTTTTTTATTCACAAATTAAAATAATAATTATTCTCTTCCATTATATTAAAACTTATCTGTAATTTTATATGCTTAATATGTTTTAAACCTAAATAAATTAATATTTTTTTATTTGTTACTTCTTTTGTATTTTTTTCAAACTAGTGATTTAAAATTTGTTGTTTTGCCATGCGGCACATTTGTTAGTAATTTATTAATTTAATTTTTTCTTTGTGTATGTAGCTATTAGATGACATAGAGTTGTCGTAAACAATGATGCATTATTTATATTTATATTTATATTTTTTATTTTATAATTTTAATTTCAAAAATTGTAATTTTATAATCTAAAATTTTATTTAAAAAATACCAAAATGTAACGTTTTTAATAATAATTTTGTCTATATCATGTTGATAATCAAATTATATGAAAATTTTTGAATATTATATAAGCAAATAATAAAGCAAGTTAACAAAACACTAACTAAGGAGGCAAACGAAATTAAAAATAATTTTTAAGATATTAAATTTTAAAAAATTACCACATAAAAAGATTATAATTTTTTTTGAGAAACAAAATCTTATTTAAATCTAATTTTATATTCGTTTTTATATGTATTATTTCAACATTCTATACACTGTTGTTTATTTCTCTCTTGTAAGAACATAATTGGTAATATTTAATATTATTTTAAAATTTTAAAATAATAAAAAGTTTGAGGCGTGATAAATAAAAAGAAATAGAGATAGTAGTTTTTGTTTGTTTCAACTATCAATCTGAAATATCCGCTTAAAAAATTTAGAAATATATTGTTTAAATTACTCTACAAAATATTATTAAGTTTAATCTTCAAGATTAAAATGAAACATCTACATTATCAAAAAAAAATATATATAAATGAAACATCTGCTAGTAATAATATTGTATTTAAAAAAATATTACACTTTATAACTTTAAAATAATAAATATTTTTTAAATATTAAAATTTGGATACTTAAATTCTTAATATATTTTTTTATTATTGTATTATTATTATTTTAATAACAAAGTTACATTTTCAAATTTTTAACTGATATTTTTAAGATAATGAACGTAAAATATTTTTGAGCTGAATAGACTAATGTCTAGTCTTGCATGTGGTTTTTCAATCATTCTTAATTTGGGAGCTACGCATCATGACTGAAAGTTTCGATAGTTGTTAAGCCAATTATGCGCGTTTTAGTTAACCATCAAGATTCTAACGCCGGATTAAATGGCTTATAAAATTAGGTGTTTCATGTCCAAATGGACGACAATGCTTGAGCCTTGAAGACTATACATAAAGCCTTAGATTTTGAAGGGAAAAAAACATATTTTAATTTTATACCAAGAGAGTTATACAATATTTATAAAAAATTAATATGTTAAATTTTTATTTTTTTTACTTTTTATTTAAAGAGAATTAAAGAATATTTGTATAAATAATTTTAGAGGTTCATTCTTTAAGGATCCAGGGAAGTTTGGGAGAAATAAGGTTGATAAATTTATTTGAGTTTAACATTAGAAAAAATCATTTTTGTTTAAATGAAAAAATAAATAAACACAAGGTGAAATTGCTTAGTTAATGCATAGAACCACCTACCATGAATAACAAGATCTAAAATAAAATTTATAGGGAATATTATATTATATCATATAATTAATTAAATGATATGTTAGGTGTAAATGTGTAGATACTGTGACAAATTTTTATGAAGGTACAGTTGCTCCCAACATAATTTCTTAAAAAAATATGATATTGGAATAACCTTTTATTATTATTATTATATATTTTGAGTTTTTTATATGTTTAAATTATTCATGTTATTCTCATATCTATATAGCGATATTTTCATACACATGAGAGAATATATAGATGGCACGTACAAGTCAGGTTAAGTTACGTTATAAGAAAAATGAAATCTAAATTCGTTTTTGTTTCAAAATTATTCTAGGCAGTGTGAACCAACTGAATCCAACATTTTCATTTAGGCGTGTGTTTTACTCACTAAAATTATATTAATTTTAATATAAAACATAATTTATAACATTGAAATATATTTACATTTTAAGGAATTACACAATATATATATATATATATATATATATATATATATATATTCAGCAAATTTTGTATATAAAAAAATGAAAACCACATGAAATGAAACAGATGCAGGGATTTTGGTTTGCTGAGCCCCTATTGGATCTTCACTCTTACCCATACCCATCGTTATCTTCCTCCTCTGACAGTGGCAATGATTTCTCGGCCCTTGCCTACGATGTTGTAACGAAGATCGCGACCACGGTTGAAAGTTGCCACCGGTTCTACCTAGACCACGGTGGAAACCATCTTGATTTAGGAGCCGAGAAGAAAACCTTCTACAAATTAAACCGTAACTAGTAGTAAAAATTAAGGAGTTCGAATAATTTATTTGGATTTTAACTTTGGGATGCAAAACGTTAATTAGTTAATACAAAACGTAGGTCGCAATCGAACTGGTGTTGAAATATGAATATCTGGTGTTTTGTCAATTTTAAAGGGTTTATTTATACTTGGGATGTTAGTATACGTTACATTGATTTTACCCAACTATCCGAATCAATTTGATTTTCTTCTTTTCCAGGTGAAGTTAGGTTATTAGGGTTCACCAATTTACCCGGGGTGCATGAGCACCATAGGAGAAATAGCTAATAGGCTCATGGTGAGTACTACACTGATAGTTCAGTCAATACATGATTACGAATAATTGCTATCCAATAGTAAAAGAGAAAGAATGAACATATCATTCCAATGAGATACTGGTATTTATAGATTATAGGTGGTAATCGAACTAGCAGTAATACTTCTGTTAGATTGTTGTTACAAAATTTTTAAAAAAATGTTCTAATAAGTAATAAATATATAACTTTTATTTATTTACTTATTTATTATTGCTTTATAACATATTTAAAAACACACATTAAAGCTAAAAACGCAATTTTTTATTATTTATCTTAGCCTAAATTTCCTTTATCCTTAATATAATGTATTATAAATACACAATTTTTTATAGAGTAGTGATATAATATCATCATTTTGGTTTGTCAAAATATTTTTGTCATTTTCCAAACTGGGCCACATTATAATGATGTTTAATATACTAATAATATGTATCTATAATTTATATTAATAAAACTATCTGTTAGTACGTACGGTATATCATATGTTAATGTCGATAATATATATGTATAAGATACAAAATATTTTAGTAAAGATTAACCTAATACTAAACTGGTAACATATTACATTTTTTGAACAGAAGACTAAAGTGATGACCCGTACATTCATGGACTCAAATAGGTCTTTGTCTTTTTGTGGCATCAGGTACTTGAATTGATGCTTTCCGGGCGAAGGAATGAATTGAAGCGAAGGGTGAGTGCAGCTTTTTCATGAGAGGGGAAAAGTTGTTAATCTTTTTTTAAGTTTAGGCTCAAAATTATAGGGCACTGTAGGCTGGGAGGGTGGGAGGGAAAGGCCAAAAAAAAAAAAGGGCATCACTGTTAAAGTGCACAAAAGCGAAGGCTTGTTCACTGGCAATGGGCCACCATGCATCATGCTAAATGAAATGTCAAAGTTAGTGGCATCCAATCTCACAGAAGGCCTAACAAATCTCCCAAAATCCCACACCTGTAATCATTTCATTTTTATTTCAATTTTGATATACTCTTTACTAGTTTATAAAAAGTAAATGTGAATGCTGCTTACTTTTTGGGAAAGTACCCCTATGGTTTTCTATGATTCATGTGCCTTTCCTTTTTAAAAAACATTCAAAAATATTTCAAGGCCATCGATTGATATTACATGTCCCTCTCTCACCCTTCTAAATTTAAACCCAAAGGAAAGATGAAAAAAATTAAGATCATGATCTATCAATCAAGGAAATCAAAAAGATTTTTAACTTTTGGACTGGATTATATCCCGGACATTTCATGCAAAAGACAAGCCACTATGACAAATTAAATTATAACCATTCACGAGTGCTTCAAGTTCGTGTCCTTTCTCCCTTTCTTTCTTCTTTTTTGTTTTCTTATCACACTTTTAATCTTTATTTAAATAAAAATGAATCCAGTCCTCTCCTTTAGGGCAAGTACTTAATTCTGGCTTGCTCGTTAGAACCGCATAATTAGATCCCACCACACTAGCCCTTGAATATAAGGGCGGATTTATATGAGGTTAAACAAGGTTTTACATTAAAGAAATTTGACTTGTATAAGATCTCAACCAAACTTATTTATTTGATTTAGATTTTTCCCCCCTAAGATTTGACTTAGTTTTTTTTTTTTTAAAGTTTAATTTGATCTAAAAGTCTAGGTAAACTTACTCCTAGTAAAATATTTTAAATAGATTACCTAATTTATCTTTTCATAAGCTAATAGATTTAAATCTTTTGTTGGTTAACAGTGTAAATCTTTAGACTAAAAAAAAATTAATTTCAAGACATTATAAAAATACTTAATATAATAATAAAAACATTATTATATTTAAATTTACTTAAATAGTTTGATTGCTAACTATAAAAGACCTTTCGGATGACCTAAAAGCTTAGTTTTTTGTTAAATAATTTGTACAGATTTTAAATCCATTCAATAAATAAACTTAGGCTAAACTAGACTTAATGTTGATCACGTTATAATAATCAAAGAATTACTTGAACTATTTTAATCTCTATATATTTAAAAAAAAAAAAAAAAAACCTTGTGATGTTTCCTCCTTCTCGTGCAGCTTGTTATGTAACTTTCACCCTTTTTTGATATTATGCACAAAATAGGGTGAAATGTGAATAATTTGACCTGCTAGGTGACTATACTAATTAACAAAGTAACTAACAGCTAGAGATTATAAACCAGGATGATAATGTGACATGCTTATTAACTCTAAAAATATGTTAGTGTCTAATTTATGTTTATATATTATTATATTGAATTTATGTTGGGTTTTATCCATGTCGTATATACTTTTAAATTCTAACCGATTTATTATTTGTGCATTTATTCTCTTCATATTAAATGCTTTTTTTTTTCCTTTTTAAATCAATTCACCGAACTCAACTTAAATTATGATCAGGACTAATTTTTTTTTTAAATTAATCTCCCTTTTTACAATCATTTATCTTACATTTTATTTATACTCTTTTTTTATAATTCTGTTTGTATTTATTATCATATCTCTTATTTAATTCTTTTTTAAAAAATTGCAGTGATATTATGTTTCTTATTTGGAAATATAATCCCATATCTTCCACCCTCGGGCCCTGGAACTTTTTGATCTGTGGGGTTTTCGTTTCATTAACACTTCTCAACCACATCAACGACTTCCTAGACCCCACTGTTAAATCAACTCATATACTTTCATATTGATTTATTTTATCATATTATATATTTATATCTTCGTTTTTATTTTATTTGTCTTCTTATCTTCCTCTTCCACCAATTTAATATCCCAAAATAGAGTGTGAGAATGTTTCCTTGTAAAATTCCTCAAGATAAAAGTCTCATTTATGAGCGTAAATAGAGCATACGCGCGCCTTTCCATTGCCTTCCCTTTCCTAGAGGAACAATATTTTGGTGCGAAATCGAAATCAGACAAAAGTAAGGAGAGATATTTCATTATTCAAATTAGACACTTTTTCCTTTTTCCTTTTTTCAGTGTACAATTAATGATTTTACATACGTACGTACCAAGATAATTGGCTCACCTAGTCACCGTTGAATTCATAATATAGCACATCCTGGCCTCATATTCGCCTATATAAATAATTTATTTTATACAATAAAGTTATGTATGTGTGTGTTACACTAAGAAGAGAAAAACTATGGATAAGAAAATTTACCTGACGAAAAAAAAATTATAAAATTTATCACAGGTAAGAATAGTATAACTCCAGTGTAAATTATGTGAGCCAATTTTGGAGTGCTTACGTACACATTTACGTCTCTTCTCTCCAATGTGACTATTCCTAAAATCTGGAAAAAGAAAGATGATCGAGGAGAAAAAAAAACTTTGTCTTAGTCAGGAAAATGCGCAGGCCTGAAATGTTTGCGTCAATTATTGTATTTCTTTTGTTTTGAAAAACAAACAATAAGTGGAAGAGGGAATGTATGGACCCATGCATATATACATGCCCATGTGTAATGTGTTTTATATTTTATTGTCATAATCTTGAAAAGTTGAGAACATATGAATATGTCTTTGATTTCGATAAAACAAGAATGCGGCCGCTAAGAATTCCCGAAATCTCGCCACCAATTACTCCTAGAACCCACAACATAACATATAATCGGTGTTAAATTAAAGACTCAGAGAGAGAGAGAGAGAGAGAGAGATCTTTGTATACATTAGATGCCAAATGAATTGAAGGCGTATAAAAACAAAAAGAGAGAGGGACACATTCGGTTTGTGTAAATGTGTTCAATCAACGCAGCAGACTATATATTTATTTCTCTTATAAACTCAAGCAAGTCAAAACCAAGATCCATATATAATAATCTCACACCGATTGACATAGCAGAGACACAATAAAGTGATAAACACTTTGAAACCACCAGGATCCTTTTGCATAAAGGCGTGTTTATATGATTAAAAGCACAAATCAAAATTTGAGTGAAAAGAGAAAATAATAGAGAGAGAGAGAATGAAAGAGAGAAAGACAAGCTAGCTGTTACTTATTTACACATAATTTGAGGGGACCCAAAATACAATGAAAAGAAAAAATAAATTAAAGCAGTGTTTAATTTAATTAATTTGATGGTCATAGTTAAGATGAGGATACCAAGATTCTCTCTTTCATGCATTAGAATTATACTGCCATAGTATTAGTACCATTAGTTGCTTTAAACTTTATGAAATCACAAATATCAATCTCTTTTCTTCTTATTCTGTTTCTTGGTCCATCGTTTCGATCTTTCGGTGAGGCACTTTAATCAGAAGAACAATTAATCCAAGATTCCACCATACCTTGGCTTCTTGCGGGCACAGTGAACTCTGGCCCCTTCTCTCCATGAAAACCAGACGAAGAAGAAGCTGAGTAGTGTACTTTGCCATTAGTGACTCGCTCTGCAATATCACTGTAGCTGACAGTGCCACTGAGAATTCCTCCTTCTCCACCGTGATCACAATCATTGTTGGTAATGGTGCCCGTTCTTTGGGCCCATTCCGTTGAAGAGTCATTACTCAAGTGATTGTTGTTGCCACTTGACAATGCTCCCACTCCAACCGATGTTGACGAAACCATGGTCTGATGAAGACAGTTGAGGTCGGTGTTAACATGGTCGTGTCTCAACCCCAATTCCTCGAAGACCCCCATTTTGAGATTCTGCGGAATTTCCAAAGAAGGTTGGGTTTTGGAGGCGAGAAGAGAAGAATGGCCAAGAGGGTACTTGGGTGATGCTTGAAGAGCAGTGTTTTGAAAGCCGAGAACCGGGTTTTGCATGTTAAAGTTGAGTAGTTGTTGGTAGTTAATGGAAGTTGAATTAGTAGTAGAGTTAGTTGAGTTATTAGAAGGGAGTAACAAGTTGTCCACCGTGGAAAAGGAGTGAGGAAAAGGGTGAAGATTTCGAAGTTTCTGCGCGAAAGGGCGAAGAAGATAAGGAGGAGTTGTTGAAGGGTCCAGAGGGTTGGAATTGGATCTCAAAGTTGATGAAGCAGCAGAAGCAAAGAGATCCAACCTGGTTCTCGGGAAAGGCGAGGAAGTGAAGGGTGGTGCGGGTATGCCAGTGAATTCCTGAACCATGGCTCGGAAATTTGTGGTGTCTGTGGTTAGCACAGTGGTAGGTGCACGCCTCGAGGCTCTGGACCGTTTCTTTGGGTTTCGAACCACGTTGCTGTTGTTGTGGGTTTGATCATTGTTGGCGGCTGACACCGAAAGCATTAATCCTCGGGAACCACTTTCATGAGGCAAGATTTGATGTGTGGTAGAAAAAGCATTAGTATTGCTGCCTCTTGTTTGTCTTGAAAGAAAAGCGTGGTTCTGGGACGAGGGTGAGGATGATGAACAAGGTATTATCATGCCACCAAGATCGGTTAGGTTGGGTTCGGATCTACCAGGCTTGGACCACATCACATCAAGGTTTAACTCCGAGTTTGTGTTGGAAAGTGATGTTGATCTTTGTGTAACTGGATCCAACAAGTTTGATAAAGGGTCGAACATGTGGGTATTTTGGTGGTGAGGAGGGGTAATCAGTGGATGCAAGTTTTGGAGGTTAGTAGTAGTGCCAGTGCCGAAGGGAGCAACTTGGCTTGGTGGTAGTTGGTTGTTTAAGAACACAGAGAGTGATGATGATTCGGCGCGTGAATCATACTCCTCTTCACCACCGCTTGAGGATTGCATACTCCCACTAGTGTTACCCGAATCCATGAGAGCAGAAAATGGAAAGACGTGAAGGAGACAAGTGCAGAGATTTTGATTACTTACTTGCACATACCCATATGAATTTAAGAGGGTGCTACGGAATGAGGTATGGGAGCATAACAAGAGAGAGATTTTTCCGGTTGTGGAAGGAAAAGCTAGTTAGATGATATATAGGTAGGTTTTGTTTGAGAAAGTAGCACCACCCACCAACGTCTTTATGGCTCTGATCTGCGACCAGCACACAGTGCTTGCCTCACTTTTCCTTAATCTGTGTTTGTGCAAAAGGGTGTTACGTAAACAAGGGAATAAACAGCCCACGGATGATGGTGTATTTAATACTCTCAGAGAGGTTGTGAATATGAGTTACTCTGTTTGTGAGGGTGAGAGAAGTTTTTGCTCTCTTTTTCTTGCTTCTGTGACCTGGGCTTTGGATTACTAAGATTGAGAATGAAATGATCCTGTATTAGGGTTTCAAAGTGAAACACAAAAGGAAGAGAGAGAAAGAAAGAGAAAAGGATAGTTCTTTAGCCTTTTTCCCCTATAAAAAGAGAGGCTGCTTCTGATCAATGTGTTTTCATCCGAAAAATATCAGCGTGGGGCAGCAATGGGAATGAAAGAGAGAGAATGGGGGGGTTTAGTGATGGTAGGCTCAATGGGGTCAAAGTATGTGAGATTTGTGGTTTTGATTTGTAGAGTGAGATCGAGAAAAGACACGAGGTTAAGGAAGATATGGGTTATCGGAATAATATACAAGAATTGAAAAGGTTATTTATTAATTAAAAACGTTATTTTCCTACTGTTCGTCTTGTATTTTGCGGAATAATGAGGTGTGCAAGCAACCAAATTAGAGTGATGGTTGTTGAATTGCATAAAGGAAAGAGATCAACCATATTTAGCTTTTCAAATTGCGTCAAGAAATGAATATAAACATTTGCATATATAATGTAAAACAAAATATTAAGATTGTTACGGATTATTACATTCAATAATTCTTGTAATTTTACAATTATTTTTTATATTTAATTTTTATTTTCCTTTTTTTAATTTTATCACGTTATCCTTTTTTTTGTCTTATTTTTCTCTGCAATCTATCCACTTTATACCCTGAAATGGATTTCAACTGATAATTTCCTTAAACCAAAAAAATTAAACAAACTATGTGACTTGTTTGTTTCCAATAGTTTTGACCCAGTCAGAAAACGTGATATATAAATTATTAAAAAGGGGATAAAATCTGAGAGAATCTTCCGCTGCTAAAGATGTAGAAGAGAAATCATGTATACTTAATATCTTATACTATTAGATTATCGTTTTTCCTATGACCTTTTTTTATTTCAACGTCTAAAAAATAACGTTGTATATATGTAATATTATATGTGATTTTTTAAAATCTTTTTGAAATATGTGTATTAAAAAATATTTATCATAATTAAAAGAGATAAAAAAATATATCATTCTAATGATAAAACAACATTTTCCTTTGTTTTTTCGTGTTTATGATGCTGATACTCCCTATGAAGTATAGGAAAAAAGACTCCAATTTATTTTACTAGGTGTTCGAAGGCTAGATGGATGAATCAGCTCAACTACATTCAAGTTCGCTCCAACCAACCAAACACGGAACCGAGGATGAACAAGTTCCCTTTTCTCTTTGTGCATGTGTTTTAGGGAAGGGGAAGCTGTTCAATATAAAATGAATCTCAAATAATCTTCAAATACTGTGTTCATTATTTTTTTTCTATTAGAGAAAGTTCAGTTTCTATTTATCTATCACTTTAAAGTTTTCAAAATAATATCAATTATTATTTAATTATGTTTTTATAAAAAAAATTAAAAGAGTATTAATATAAAATGTCAAAATAATAAATGAAAGAGATAAAAAAAATATTAAAATTTTATAAATAATTTTAATTTAAATGGAGGCTGTAATAGCTTAGTTGGTAGAGTGTAGCGGTCCATAACCATTTCTACGTGTAATGTACCCATTTTCCTATTCGATTTACCTTTGCTCTGGGATTTCCCCTAAAATACCAAATCCATTCATCAAAAACTTGTACACTCTATTTCTCGTGCTTTCTAGATTTACACGTGTAATATGTTTGCAATTCCCTGCCTACAACAAATTTAAACCCTTTTCGTGTTAAATGAATTGTTCAGCTTATCTAAAACTTAGGTTCCATTTCATCGTTACTTTTTTTAATTTATTAGGGTATCACGTCTTTATACAGAGAAAAATCTGTGATCATTCATTGTCATATGACTCATATTTATCTACGTAATAAAAAAATATAAGGCCTAATATGTGTATTACAGTGTGCAGTACAGTTAGTTTAGTTTTCTTTGTAGATAATATGGGCCCTCAACTAAAATTTACTATTTTTATCAAAATTAATTAACATTATTGTTGTAATTAAATTTTCAGGAAGTTCAGTAATCGAAAGCTACAGGCACACATCCACGTGATTATCTTATTCTATCACAATGATTAGTCAAATATGAAAGAACTGTAAGTATATAAAGGAGATGCCATACGGTCTTACTACGCTACTTCTATTTTATGTTCTCCTTTATTCTGCTTACTTTTCTTTAATATTTGTGCTATTAGATACCGTCATTGTTTAGTTTCCTACCCCAGAAGCTTTTTTCAACCACAATATTGATATATTACTTTATCGCTAACAAAAAGTCCAAACATGGAACTGTAAACGGATTTGACTTTTCCTTTAACTATAGATATGCAAACGTGGCCCCCCATTAATCTGCTCAAAACTGTTGAGCTAATTATGTCTGGTTTATGTTGCTTGAATATGTAAAACTACTTTAATTTGTATTACTGGATATGGTCATCGTCCCCTCCATCTACAAGGATAAGCGATGGATCAAAGAAAGGTTTGGAAATGATATTGATGGGACCTCTAATCTTCTGTCTATTATTGTCAAGTAGATAGCAATTGGAGTCATGGACATATACCCATTGTTGTATGAATTACGATGATGATGGCCTTTAGATGCACTTGTCGATCCTTGATGAACATATTTATCACTTATCTGTTGTAGATGTAGAAAGCTAAAATAAAAAAAAAGGACAAAATTTATATATATTATTTAGATAATTTTATAATATTTTTAATTATTAATTGAGCTTTATTATAGAAATTAATATCAGTGTTGAATGTTGACTTTGATTAGGTGGGTTATTGCATTGAAATTTTACTTTTAATTTTTTAGTTATTAAAAATATTGTATTTTGGATGTGTTGGAAAAGGAATTGCAAAATTTGCGTGGTCGTAGCCTCGTACTCGCATTGTACGTACCTTGATGCCGGCACATAATTAAATTAGGGGGGGCTTCATTTACCTTTTTACTTATGTCCATCAACTCATGTTTACAAATCCCACGTGGCTTATTTATTCTCATATGCTCGAGACAACGTAGTAATTTCGAGCCATATACTTCAACTATCCATTTAATGAGCTGTATAATGCATGTAAAATATGCTTGATGACCAAAAGAAGAAAGAAATTGATCGTTAATCTCTCTCTCTCTCTCTTCATATTCCAAATTCAGCCCTATATAATCTTTGTTAAAAAATTTAAAACACTGTTATTCAAATAAAAAATAAAATAAATAAGAACTTGTTTATGTATATATTTGAAATTTACATAAATCGGTGTGAGTGAATGAGATTTAAGTTCTTTCCTTATGAGATCTTAGAATTTTGGAGAGCATACAGTATGTATTTTTAAAATTTATTTCTATAGGAAAAATTTTCAACCAAATAAATTAGTGTAGTGAATGATTATACATTATCAAAAAATTATTATTATTTGTATTCTTATTTATCTGTTAAAGACATAAAAAAATTTACAAATTAAGGAGTCTAATTATTTTTGTCACAACTATATTTTTATTTTCATCTCATTTTCTTTGCCCCATCCCCTGCGATTTTGTAGACTCTTCCTCCTAAATCTCTTTTAAATCTACAAGGAAAAACAATATTTACATAATATTATAACTATATTGAATATGCATATAGTATTGGTAATTTTTTTTTATTTACAAAATCATATTAACTTAAAATACATCAAAATCTTTTAAAAACAATAAAGGTCACATAATAAATAGAAATTTTAGTTAGTATATGTGAAATATTTAAGGATTAATTATTAAAATACAATTAAAATGCACTACTTATATAATTTTTTTTTATAATTCAATTATAAATTATTAAATTAACGAGAATCATTAACTTGTGCCTTTTAATTAATTATATAAATAAAATTAAAATTTTCAAATATGATATATCATATTTTGATAATTTCATTTATTAAACAAATAAAAATTGAATTTAAGTTTAAGTTTTTTATTTAATAAAAATAAATAATTTGAATTAAATATTTAATAAGTTGAGTTTAAATAAATTTTTTATATTTTTTAAAAGAGTATGTTAACAAACTATATATCTGTGTTTATGTGTGTACGCATATAATTTGTTAATATATGTTTCTTAAAACATTAAGTGAGAGTATATTATTAACATATTTTACATTTCAGAATATATTAACAAATTAAAAATTATAATTTGTCAGTAAACTCTTTTTAAAGAGACAAGAAAACAGAGAGTGATCGATGAATGTAAGAAAGGTTAATGTTAATTTACTTGTGTATAAGATTAAATAGTTTATATTAACTACTACTGCTTTAACAGAGATAAACTCTTGTGAAAACTAACTCGCCAGGATAGGGACTCAAAGTATATAGCCCAAGTGAAATTTCTCTTAACTCCTTTCGAATAGGATTGGAGTTAACTTGTCTAATTAAACTCTCACACTTTCTCTTCATTATGCTTTGTATACGTATATAAGAAACGCATTTCAGAATATCTAATGTAGAAAAATAAGATTCAAAAGGGGAAATTTTCTTATACATAGTCATATTTAACTCTCCAAAGCGTGTGATTCCCATGATTCGAGTCCCTCCATTGCATGCAGTCACAGATCGCAATTATCTACTTCCACAATAATTTATAGGGTGTTTTTTATTTACCAGAAAAAAAAATTAATTTATTATGTTTATTTTTGTAATTGCAAAACTATTAATCAAAAGTTTTATAATAAAGTATTTGTAGTCTTTTCATCTTTACCAAAAATAAATAAATAAATAATCAAGTATTTGTAATATTTCACTCAAAATATAATACAAATTATTCATGTATTTATCTTACAATAACATGATTTTAATTTTAAAAGCTTTTTTAACAATAATCACAATTACATGCATGTACTGTCAACAATATTTTATAAGTATTTGGAAAATAATTCGATCTTATGATATTGATAAATACTTTTGGATATTAATTTTCTTTTTTTGGTTGTATGTTTGTTTCTGAAATAAATTAGGCCATTGTTATTAAAACAGCAAGAAAGAAGCACGTACGTGAGAAATAATTAAGAAAATTCGGAATAAATATTTGAAAAAATAGTTAATAATAGTATTAGGAAAATTATAGCAATAAGTTATCTTAGTGGCGTGTCCTTAAAATAAGATAAAATTACACTATACATCCAATTTTCTTTGATATATATAAACCAAGAATATAAATAAATATATATAATATATACGAGGAATTGGATATATCTTTACTTAGTTTATGAAGATGGGTTAATAATTGATTAAAGGGGGAGACAAATTACATTGGAATTACCCCG